TCGATGAACACCTTCTGTGAAGAACTAAAAACCCAGTTCTAACCGTAAACACCTCGTTTTGACACTCAAAGTCGGACAAAATCCGATTCGCTCGGACAGCCCCTCAGGCCATCAAAATACAACTCATTCAGTACCCAAATCATTTTGGAAAGCCTCGGATTTTTTATATGTTATAGCCACAAATGTCCCCAACAATTTTTGTGAAGGAAGTATTTTGAAAATAGGTCTGGAAAAATTTATAAAATTTCAAACAGACCAGAAGGTCGGGTGAACAGTAAATCGGGCAGTTTTGTTTCGGTCCAAAGATGGACTTCCGAATGGCCTCAAATGATTTCCAAAAATTCCCAAATTAAATGATATTATACTTAAAGATGTTGGAAACAACTTTCATGAAGAACAATTCTTCAGATTCTGCCTACAATGATCACAAAAAAAATAACAAAGCGCAGAGGTACAGTAAAATCAGTAATCCGAGAATCATTAAACTTGCACCATTAAGCAAATCCAGCTCATACACCCTCTAAACCAAGTCTCCACAGCCTTAAAACCATCCCTAAATCATCACCTTAGGCCCTTAAAATCACCACAACATCAGCCCAAATCAGCCCCCACTAATTAACCCCTAAAACTTATCCAAAGTGCACATAATCCTAATTAAGGGTTAGGATTTCCACTCACTAGATTTAAGCTTCAAAAGTGGGCTGAAAAAAGGGAGAAACGGGCCAAACAGTGGCTGGATTGAACCAATTCAGCGGCGGCACTCCGGCGTCCTCACGGCGGCGCTTGGCGGTGAACGGCGGCGGCGACGGTTGCTCCGGCGGTGGCTGTCCCTTACGACCAAGGGAAGAGAGAAGAGAGAGTGAGGCGTGAGAGGGGGGGAAGAAGAGAGTGAACGGCAAAAATTGGGAGAGGAGGAGGAAGTGGCCGAGGAAGATGGAATGAAGGAGGAGAGAGAGTGGTCAAATGGTTAAAGGTGGAAGATACTTGTCACATTCTTGGACACTTGACCATTCTACCCTTTGATCCAATGGCCATTAATCACTCTCATCCAATAATTGAGGGCCCTTTTGGTCAATCAATAATTCTGAATTTTGACTCATAATTATCCACAATAATTTCCCAAAATTGTCCAAAATTCGGAACTCCAAAAATAGGCCATAAGGGCAAAACGGTAATTTTCCGGTCCCGGGTCGAAATTCCATTTTTCGACCGTACCGACCCCAAATGTGTGTGGCCAACATAATATGACGTCGGATTCGCAAAAATAACCTTTTAAGCCCTCGAAAATCAACTGCAAAGTTTGGAGGGGCAAAATAGTAATTTTTTCACTTCTGGGCCGAAATTCCAGTTTTCAACCGCAACTACTCTAGATATGCGTGGCCACCCTAAAACGGCATCGGCCTCGAAAAATAATCTCATATGGCCTCGAAAATCGACGTCGGAGTCCAAAAGGGTAAAATCGTAATTTTTTCAATTTCGACCGAAATTCCAATTTTTAGCTGGACTAGCCTCAAATGACGTTGGCCACACCAAAATGACGTTGGCCTTGCAAAATAGTCGCAAACACCCATAGAATTTCGACATCGAAGTTCGGGTCTAATTTGGCGATCAAAATTGCTCGATTTAGAATTTTAGAGCCTCTTACTGACGGGTGGCTGTTTAGGGGTTACGCGTATCGACCTAGGGTCACTCGAGTCATGACGGTCTCGATTACCGGGATAGCGCAAGGAATTATTGATTATTCCAGGGGTCACGATCGTTCGGTTCAGGTTCGGGATTTATTTGCCACGCACACTCTCGGTCGAGCGGAATCACCCGCGATCCGATCGTACGTCGTTGGCCAAACCAAATCCGTCACTTTCCTAAGATCGGCCCACGCTGGCCCAAAATACTTCCCTATCGTTTCTCGGAATCAGTGCCCGATTCGCGATCGGGTCCCCGGTCCACGTAACGTTTTCCTAATTAGCCTTTCCCATTGGTCAGTATCCCGCGAGGGGCCAGCTCCGGGCGAGACGTACTAAAATCAGATGAGAAATAATATCCACTTCGTTGGATCTCGGAAATGGGTCGAAATTCAGGATGTTACATACGACTCTACACCTAGCGTGTTTGGCACAATGTACTCCGGAATATACAGCTCATCAGAATGAGTTGTAACACTCAAAGGTACATAAGGTTCGACGTCAATTGATCGCTTAGCCTTCAACCACCTTATATACTCATTAGATGCCAAAAAGAGTTTCATTTCTCCTTCCAAATCTTCTAACCATTGTACTATTTTCTTGGTTGATCTCTTCAAAGAATTCACGATCCCATCGACCCTTGTTCACAGCTCTTTACTTTTCGTTTCCGATATAGGTCCTTGCGGTATCTCAAATGTGAACTCCTCAGGATGCCAAATAGGTGGAATTTATTGAACCATTCCGAATTGTCGCATGACTCTTAGTGGGCAATAAGCAGTTCCGCCACTCAATCCTAGTAAAGGCACAAAATTACCGTCTTGGATAGTAATTTGAGCTTCGGTTATCTTCGGCCATTGAATTCTCCATTGAAGCTGATCAGGAGTTAATGCTCTAATGAAGTTTGCCCACTCATGAAAAGAGTACTTTGGCATTTTGTCTTGGAGTTTCAAATACTTCTCAATAGGGTTGGTAGATGAGTCGATCTCTCGAATGCGTATATAACGTTCCCAAGGCCGAATATGGGAGATAAACCATACAGAAAGTAACCCAGCTGAAGCTTGCAGTACATCCTTTTGTTGATTTTGGTATTTGTTCAATGAAATGACGGTCTCTGCCAAGAGCATATTGGAAAAGTCCCATTTTAGGCAAGCTTGCCTAGCAATTACCGCAACGAGAGGATTTAATCCCGTCCTTGATACGGGAAATAAAACGAATCCGAAGAAGGCCAGAATAAAAACCCTTGCAGAAGTGTTTCCCGTTTCTTTCGGCAATTTGGAGTAATTGTCCACCAAGTAAGATAGAGGAAATCTCCCGGTGTTTGATTTGATCAACTTTTCCACTTGAGGGGTCTTCAAGTTTAAAAATTTAGCTATAATACTTGTGGGTTTCAATCCAACTGGGGGCTCAACGGTTCTTGACCCGAAATCAATTCCAATGGTTGCCTTATATTATTCTAGTGTAGGTACCATCTCGTGCTCGCCAATTGAAATGTGGCAGTGGTAACTTCCCAGAAATGGGATAATGCTTGGATTAGACTCACTTGGTACTCCAAGTTGATGAGGTTGAACAAATACCCGAGCATTTCCCTTACGTATGCTTTGTTATCCTTTGTCATGTTTACCCACCATGCCAAAAGCTCCTTCCTTGGAATAGGAATGACTTGTATGTCTAGTTTCTCCATTTCAATTTAAAGCATGTAAAAGAAAGTGATTATTATTCACCATGGATTACTAATTGATTTTAATGCCCCCATTTCACTTATATGTCCTTTTAAGGTAAGACGAGGTTAAATACACTTGCATGCCTCGAAAGCAATGCAAGTGTCATTTTGAATCCGTTTAAACCTTAAAAGAGCATATAGTTGAGATCATGGACAAATTCAATGTGTGATGTAAATGCCCATTCTGTCATACTCCATTTAGACCATAAAGTTCTAAACTATGGTTTGCAACTTCGAACACATTGAAATGAACGAATAAGCATTTGAATTACATGAGAAATCCACCATGGACCTATACATTTCATCTAAAAATTAAAGAATGGTCAAATGGAGTATGACGCCCTAATTATACATTCTAAAACAAACGGGCATTTAGACCAAGCATTGAATGTCATTTAGGCATTTTTTAAAAATGTGCCAACTAACATGCATAATTGTAAAAGAATGGAATGGAACGATACTTGCTTACCATAATATTTTGTTTGGTTTTAGGTATATCAACCACAAAAACAAGCGAATGCAACCAGTGAAGTTTTGATGCCTAAAAAGGGTAGGATATGCTAAAGGCTCAAGGTCATCACCTTAATGGACAAGGGATTCTATTCCAATAGGCAATCGGCCTAAAGTAATGAAATATCACTACAAAAAAAACATGATTTTTGCGACGAATTTTGCGACGAAAAATTTGCAAAAATTCGTCGCAAATCGAATTTGCGACGAATTTTGCGACGGAAAAAATTCCGTCGCTACTAGGTCGTTGCAAAATTTTGCGACGGAAAAAAATTCGTTGCAAATAATTCGTCGCAAAATCCATCGCAAAGTTCGTCGCAAATAATTCGTCGCAAAATCCGTCGCAAAATTCATGGCAAAATCCGTCGCAAATTTCGTGGCAAAATTCGTCGCAAATCGAATTTGCGACGAATTTTGCGACGGAAAAAATCCGTCGCTACTAGGTCGTCGCAAAATTTTGCGACGGAAAATTTAAATTTCCGTCGCAAATTTGCGACGGAAAAAAATTCGTCGCAAATAATTCGTCGCAAAATCCATCGCAAAGTTCGTCGCAAATAATTCGTAGCAAAATTCATCGCAAAAATCGTCGCAAAATTCGTGGCAAAATCCGTCGCAAAATTCGTGGTAAAATTCGTGGCAAAATCTGTCGCAAATTTCGTGGCAAAATTCGTCGCAAAATTAGCCACGAACTTTATTCGTCGCAAATAATTAGTCACAAATTAGCCACGAACTTTATTCGTCGCAAAATTCATCGCTAAAATTGCCACCAAATTTTTTTACTTTTGCCATGAACATTATTCATGAACAAATTTAGCGACGATATTTTATTAATTCTTTAACGACGAACTCTGCAACGAATATCGGTTAGGGACGAAATTAGCGACGAAATTTTAATTTTGCAACGAACTTTTGTAATTTGTGATCGTACGATAAAATCATTTATTTTATTTTTTTGATTTTAAACCTAATTAAAAGAAAATTTAAATTTTGGAATTTATATTTAACATTGATTAAACACTTAATAACATCAAAATATTATAATAATATGAAAATGAAATACATTCATCTACATTTTCCACAATAATGACATAAATTTTTTTCTTTATAGTACACATAATGAGAGAATAAACAATCTTGCACAATAACTAATCTTTGCACAATAAATAATGACGACAGAAATGAATAAAAAAAGAATATCCTGCTTTTAGCGACAACACCCATCATATAAATGTTGAACAAAACTAAAGACACGGTCCATGTGAGATGCTCACTTCCTGCTCCAGTTTTAACAAATGCCGGTTGAAATGTTGCTGCAACCTCTCATTTGCATAACTTATGCAGAATTGCTCAAAGTTGTTCTTCTACAAAACATAAATTGTCTGGAATTAGACACAAAATTAGTGACATTGTTTCCACATTAAATGTTAATATATTCAGCTTCTAAAGGATACATAATGACTGTACACGGCATAGATTGTGAGGATATGAAAAATGCAAGGCGTTCATGGCTCAATGTGAATGATATACCTGCATGTACATGAATATTGGATCTAAGCAAGCTTACAAACTCAAAAGCACATTAATAGCAGACATCGAGTTAAGTCTTTAAGAGAAAGCCTCGAAGCCATTACCTGCAAGGATGATTACAAGAGCTGTTGTCCAAAAACTTCCATAAAACCACAAGAAGACAGTGCCACAAAGTGCAAGCAGCAAAAGTGCAGCGGTAAACCCCACAAAAATACCCACAAGAACATCATTGCACCTGAATGAATGCAAACTTCAGTCAGTAAAAAGGAATGCAGCAGAAGCAAAGTGTGATTAATAGAGTTATTCTGAACATTTCAGAAAGAGCAACTGAGGAATGAATTCTAGGAACATAGACAAAAGAGGATGTGTATCTTACTAGATAAAATCCAGCAACAATACCGTGTGGCTCCAAGGAGTTTGGAAGTGACAACAGGTAATACTCTATGCTTATTTTGATTTCTTCTACTTTGACAGGAAGAAGGAGGAGTTGCACATATTTATAAGCTCAGTTCAGGATGAAATATTGACATACAAACATGAATGGATCCAGGGTAACAGGTCATGTCAGGATGGGAAAGGATAACTTGAACCAGCAATACAATAGGAAGTCAATAAAAGTAGCTTGTGAAGTGATGAGTGACTTTTCGACCTAAAAGGAAAAAAAGTGATGAGTGACTTACCGAGACCACAAGAAACTTTACCATGCCGACCATAGCGATAGCTGAGAAAATTCCACACCATATGATAGAAAAGAAAGATGTAGTCCCCATATGTAGGAAAGAATCGATTCCCCTAAGAGTGCAATCCAACCAAACCATTGATAAGAGAAACATTATGTTCCCAAAGTATACAAGCCATTTCAAAACAACCTGGTAGGCCAGCTCAATCTTCACTTTGACATAGTCACGAGCCTTTAGTATGTCACCTTTTAAATTAATGACAAAAGGTCTTTGTGACTCTAGCCACTCTCCAGCTGCCTTTAGGACACACAAAACTGATCTTCTCACATTTCTAACAACTAAATTGTCAAATATGTGGACATTTTCTATTAGATTTGTTATATGCCCATTCAGCTTGCAGCCCAGGCCACCTTTTCGGCTATTTTGACAATTATTATCACAATGTAGTCCACCTTGTTCTCTCTTGTGGGACATGCCCATAGGAGATGCATTTTGAATATAATCCCCTGAAGATTCCCCAGACAGAACTGGGTGCTCTAATCCCTGAGCTGCATCTGTCCCTTGTTTATCCATACTCATTAGTTTCCCAGTTCCTTGACTCATGCTCTCAGCCGACACGTTGCTCGAGTGATGACTGTTCACAGTTATCTCTTTAGGAGGAATCTTCACGTCAGTAGCTTGTCTTCTTTCTTGATGTGTTTCTGAACCCTTCTTTTTGCCATTCTGTGAGGAATGACTAACCCCATTCTTCTGCTGATTGCCCTTCCTAGCCATGAGTCAATATCCTAGGAGATTCTTGCTGGGTTAGGATACCAAGTTAATACATCCCCATCAATCAAAGTTGGCTTGCCATGCTGATAAGTGTTTTACTGCCATACCATCACCCATATTAAAACAGATGTCAGAGCTTATCTACCATCATTTAGGAAAAATAAGATGCCAACCTCGTTGACAGAGCACACTCCACAACTTCAAGAAAAGCTTGGTCAAGAAGTTTATGCACCTAAAATCGTAATTTATACCTTCCAAAGAGATGCATTTTACAAACTGTAAAGACCTAAAAACACAGTAACATTGTTTTTTATTTTTTAATTTCAACGCAGTAGCTTCTAGTTATAATTACAAAAAAGCAAGGGAAAAAAAATCAAAGGTGCTAGAAGTTTTGAGAAATCCATGGTCTAAACCCTCCAAAATCACTTGAAGCAGGGGGGAGCCAATTCCAAACTGAATTACAGGTCAGAACGACTTCAGCAAGCAAGCTCTGTTACCAAAGGCGACTCAACAGTCACTTAGCATAACAAAAGTTGCAAGCCTCCGCTATTTAACCAATACTCCTCTGGGGAACCACAGACATAGGTAAGAACTTTCAACGGAATCGAACTGAACACATTCCCAAGTAAAGAAAAGTGTAAATTCAAGACCCAACAACCAAAAAGTTTACTTCCCCGCTGGATACGAAAATCAAAAGCCAAGCAACACCACTGTCGCACCCAGAAACATCGCTTGAAATTCAGCACGCAACACTAGCACTAAAATCACGAATTACAACACCAGAACCCCCTTTACCCCAAACTACACCCGAAACAGTCGAGAACGAGCAGGAACGCAGCTAGAATCGAGCAATCAGGCACCCGAGAGAACGGGAGGAGCACGCAATCAAACGAACGAGCCGGCAATCGGGTGCAAGAATCACGGAACGCGACGACCCCATCCAGCGAACACCAACCGGAACACCCAAAGGGGAAGTACCTCGAGGCCAGCTCGGCGGCACCGCCCCCCAATTCGGACGAGGGAGGGAGGGGGGCGAGGGAAACACGGGGGGCCGAGGGAACCCGAAGGGATGCGGGGCCCAGCTGCTGCTGCTGCTGCTCCTCCTCCTCCTCCGCGGCGGCGCGTCCTCTCCACCATCATCGAAGGCTGCGGTGCGAGGGGTAGGTTCTATATCTAGCGAGGGGTACAGCGAGTGCGGATCCGATCGAGAGACGAAAAAGGGAGAGGCAGGGAGAACAGCCAGTGCAGGGAGGATCTGAGGAATCAGCAGAGAGAGAGAAGAGAATGGCGGGTGAGGGCGGGCAAATTGGAAGTGAGGGTTGTCCGTCGCAATTAGCGACGGACAACTTTTTCCGTTGCTAACTTTGTCCGTCGCAAATTTGCGACGGACTTCTTTTTCCATCGCTAATTTCAGCGACGGACTTTTTTTTCCGTCGCTAAATTCAGCGACGGACAAATTAGCGACGGACTTTTTTTTCCGTTGCTAATTTTAGCGACGGACAAAAATGTTCGTCGCTAATTTTCCAAGGCTCAATTTATTTTTTATAGTGTAATTTTGTGACGGATTTTAGTCCGTGCCTAATTAGCCACGGATTTACCCATGAAAATAAAAAATAGTCGGGAAAGTGAAGCAAGAGTGAGTTTATTTTTGTCGTTAAATCCGTGGCTAATTAGCTACGGATTTAGCGACGACCTTTTAAAAAATAATTAAAAAATTCAAATTTTTTACAAAAATAAAAAAGAGAAATAAGAAATAATTAAGAAATTCGATTTTTTTAAAATAAAATATTTAAAAATTGTTTTATTTTTTTTATCTAAAATAAAGTCATGAGATTAAATGCACAATCGAAGTCAATCAGATCAATCAATCCTAAATGGTCTCTAAAAATGAAAATCAATCAAAACATCCAAACCCTAATAAAGCTCTAGAAGCTTATTCATTTCATGATTAACATTTTTTAGGGTTTTAGGGTTTTTAGAGGTTATAACCCCTGAATTTGGGATTTTCTAAAAAGCCACTTGGGCACTTTCAAAAATTCAAATCTCATTTTTTATGGTTGGCCACGATGTTTTTGGACCGTCCTGTGAATTCAAATCTCTCTGGCATTTCGTCGAGCAGGTTCTTCCTCTGCAATGTTCCATTTTTTTCCTTTTTGTTCATCGATTTTTCCCGCCCAAAGTTTGTTGGAACCGATCTTCGATCGGTTCGATCAGTTTCCTGGTGCCAGCTGACCAACTCGATTAAAACGTGCTAATTTGATCGGAGAAAGTCGGTCAAGTCGCGGGCACGAGTTGATTTTCCTGGGTTTATTGTGCATTCTGGGCAAACCGGGTGAAGAAGACGAGTCTTCGAGTCGGGTCGGGTTGACCCGGTTAACCCGGCGGGCCCGATTTTAACCAAAAGTTCAAATTAACCTCAATTTTGACCAAACATTCGGAATTAAATCCCAAAATTGAATTCCTCATCATATTCCGAACCCAAATATGTGATTTTTCTCAATTTTTGTTATAATTGTGTCCAAGATTTTCACATTTTTGTATCCGGGTTAATAGGGTTTCGTTTAATTTGATGTCCTAATGACCTGATTAGGTGAAATTGATGCCAAAATTGAATTACCCACATCTGATTAACCCTAGAAATGATGGTCTCATATTTCGACAATTTCATATTGGGCACGATTCCCAATTTAGGTTCAAAATTCTTAATTTTCAATCGAATTTTGGGGATTTTTTATTTTTATATCAAATTGTGCAATTGGAATGACCATTATGCAATTCAAGGTCCCAAAATCATTTGTTGTGAAGACACTATGACTTAAAAATGACTAGAAAAAATTTAATTGCATTTTTGGTTCAATTCGAGTTTAATTTTGCCCAATTTTGGGAAAAACATATACCTGATTGAGATTTTTCAAAATTGATGATGTATTCATGAAATTGGATTTAAAATAAGACTAATGATTATTTTTATGGAATTTTCTGATTCCATTTGCTATTTTTCTTGATTTTCTCACTTATTTTTATTAAAAGAAATTAAGGAAAAATGCAGAAAAATGCTAAAAATTTATTTTTTGGTTTAGAAATAGGTTTCTAGGCTTGGCCAAGATTCCTAGTCCTAATTTTGAGATTTTTGAAAATAAAAAAAAATAAGCTAAAAATCAGATGTCAACAGGGTTACAACCCCGCGTAAACGCCTCAAGGTGTTATGTGATCATACGGGCATTCAAGCACTCAAACCCATTTCTCATCTTTCGATTAGCCAATTGCCACTCAATTCGTGTTCAACTTACAACCAGCCATGCCCCTCACGTGCAACAACAATACCGAAAATGTGATATCCTGAAAATTCGACCCAATTTGGTGATTTATGAAATGGCGATTTCGTCGACGCTCTATTAGTTAATTCTCGCCTTAACCTAATCAGTTAGGGAATACTAACCAAAGGGGAAAGGCTATCGAAGAATTTATTTCTAACAGCCGCCCGTTAGTTCGAGATGTACTATAGCTGCGATTGATCAATTTCGGCTACGAAGTATGATCCGATTTTGAGTGTCGAATGCTCAAGGGTTTCACACTCGAACCATAGGACGTCGCCTCATAATTTTTACGAATTGGCCATAGAAAATTTCAATCTCGAAAAAAGAATTACATAATCGGAAATTTGGAGCGGGAAAAATGGAAGTGAGCCAAGCCAGGCCCATTGGGCCTTGCGTCGGAGGAGACCGGCCATTGAGGCCCGATAAGGTTAAGTCAGTCCGTAATTCGGTATTCGGGTTGAGGGCAAAATGATAAATTGGGGAACAAAATTTGAGGAAAATTTCAAAAGAAAAAGGGAATTTAGTGGAGATAATCATTTCCCCCTCTTCCGCTGACTTCCCCTTCCCCCTCTGACTTTCCCCACCAACTCTTCTCTCTCTCTTCCCTTCCCCCTTCTTCTGCTGGCCCCCTCAGCTGACCCCCCACCGACCCCACCCACACACACTCTCTCTCTCCTCCTCCTTCCTTTCTTCTTCTTCTCTTCTTCTCCGCGCGTCTGCTTCTGCTTCTACTAGCTTCCGCTTCTGCTTCTACTTCTACTCCGTTGCTGCCGTTCTACCGACCTTGTGCTGCCCTTCTTGCTTGGTCTTGCTTACTTAGGCTTTGAGTAAGTGGCTTCTTAACCCTTGACTAGGCTAAGGGGTTATGAATGGACATGTTAGGGGCTGATTCATGGCTGTTGATAGTTGGTTTAGTGGTTAGATGAGCTTGAATTGCTGAATGGTTCATGTTGGTTGATTCTCGGATTCGTTGTTGCTATGCGTCTATGTTTTTCTATTTTTGTGGAGATCAATATGGACCGAATTTGAGGAAGTTTTCTTGATGAAAGTTGACTCTAACATCTTGACGTATGTCATATATTAAATCTGGAATTTTTGGAGATCGTTTTGGGTTATTTGGAAGTCCATTTTCGGACCGTCACCACTCTGCCGGAATTACTGGTCACCCGATCGGCGTATCTTTCTAAATTTTTATAAAATTTTTCAGACCTCTTCAACAAAATTCCTTCATAAATGTTGTCAAGGACATTGTTTTCTATGACATATAAAAATTTCATGGTTTTCCAAGGAGATTTGGGTACTGATTGAAATTGATTTTGAAGGGCGAATGGTCTGCCCTGGTGGGCTAATTTTCAATCTGACTTTGAATGATAAAACGAGATGTTTATAGTTGGAATTAAATTTCGAGTCCTCATGAAAAATGTTCATCAAGATATTTTCAATTACATATCCAAAATTCATAATTTTTGGAGTTTATTTACTATTTAATTCAAAAGAGTTTCGGTTACTGCACAATTGCCAATTTTAAGCCCGATTCTGTGCAAATTTGGTTTCTCTCTCCCGGGAACTTTTGATGTTATTGTTGCACGTGAGGGTGTGGCTGGTTGTGAGCTGAGCATGAATTGGGTGGCAATTGGCTAATCGAGAGATGAGAATTGGTGTGAGTGCTGAATGCTCGTGATCCCATAATACCTTGAAGCGTGTTAAGCGGGGTTAAGATGATAATTGGTTGAGTGATTGAATGCTCGTATGCTCACTTAATACCCTGAGGCATTTTATGCGGGGTTATGATCCGTTTTGATGCGTTTTACGCGAGACGATGCCCGATTTATCGGATGCTTGGCAAGGCCGGATGCCAATCGCGGTGGAGGCCAAATTGATACTCCTCATAGAATGCCGTCTTGATGTGTGTGACACGGGACGATGCCGTTGCTGATGTAGCGAGACGATGCCCGGTTACGTCGGAAGCCCGACAACTTGATACGTTTTACGTGGGTTTGGGGGAGCTCGACAACCTGATGCATCTTTACGCGGGTTCGGCTATTAATAATCTGGACTTCGTGAGTGTGATCCGCATTATGGAATGCCATGTTTGAGGTAATGTTGGGCATGTCTGGATTATTAAGTGTGCTATGCATGTGCTTGCCTCGATTTGGGCTGTTATGTTTCGATGAATGGTTGCCATGATGTGGCGGTTTGCTAATGTGCAGGATGTGTGCATGTGCCAAGGCGAGGTAAGGACGCTTGTGTTTGATGTGGCATGTTGATTGATCGAATTGCATGCTCTAAACTGTCCTGCGGTACGCGTTAGCGTAAGCGAGGCTTAGGTAGTGACTTATTGAGATTTATTCTCATTGTTGTATCCCAAAACCTTTCAGAACCTCGACCATGAACCTGAATGATCTTCCTAGACATTTTGGGATACCCATGGATGTGGATTAGTGGATCCGGAGATGACGCCATGGTACCGCGGAGACTTGTGATAGGCCTAGTTACCCCATCTTTTGAGTACTCCTTTTGGTAGAGAAGCTAGGCTAACCAACCGCCAATTCTTTTTGTGGTGCGTGGTTCTTGTATAGTGGTCTCTAGTAAGGCTTGTAATTAAGCATTTGTATTTGACGATGTGTTTATAAAAGTGCTTTGTTGATGTGTTTCCGTTGTCTCCTTACTACCCAATTAATTGTTTGTTGTATGGAGAGTTCGATATTGCTTCCGCGTGTACTGCTCTTTAGTTAGTTAGTTTGGGTCGGCGACGAATCATGGGACGTCGCACTATTATTGACCTAAGCGGGATGTTGCGTGCACGCCGGGTTTGGGGTGTGATAGAAAAGCTCCCGAGAGAGAGAAAACCAAATTGCACAGAATCAGGCTAAAATAGGCAATTGCGCAATAACCGAAATCCTTTCGAAATAAATAG